AGCGAGTCTCCTCTCTGGCTGCATCTAAGCTCTGCATAGCCTTGTGGGTGATAAGACAGGATAAACTTGGACTTTTTAAACTGAGAGCCTATTCCAAACTTTCCTGTATTGGGGGTATCTCAAGTCAAGTCAGGTCAAGTAGCTTTTATTGTTATTTCAACCATGTACAGTGGTACAGTACAGAGTGAAACGAGACAGCGTTCCTCTGAGACCCTGGTGCTGCATATGACATATCACAGACAAACACAGGACTACGTAAAGTGCAATGTTCCAACATTGCAAAAAAACAAGACAAGACAGTGCAGCAATAGACAGAACAGGACGGTACAGACACAAGACAGTGCAATGGAAATGTGCAAAATACTGTGCAAAAAGGACCTTGGTGTCTGAAGGCGTGTGTGTGTGCGCGTGTGCGTGTGTGTGTGCGTGTGCGTGTGTGTGTGTGTGTGTGTGTGTCATCCCAGTCACTGAGTGTTTAGGAGTCTGACAGCTTGGGGGAAGAAACTGTTCTGCAGTCTGGCAGTGAGGGCCCGGATGCTCTGGTACCTCTTTCCAGAAGGTAGCAGGGTGAAGAGTGTGTGTGAGGGGTGTGTGGGTCCTCCACAATCCTGGTGGCTTTGCAGATGGAGCGGGTGCTATAAGTGTCAATGATGGAGGGAAGAGAGGCTCCAATTATCTTCTCAACTGCTCTCACTATCCGTTGTAGGGTATTGCGATCCGATACGGTGCAGTTATCATACCAGACAGTGATTCAGCTGTTCAGGGCACTCTCAATAGTCCCTCTGTAGAACGTGGTGAGAATGGATGGAGGGAGATGGGCTTTTCTCAGATTTCGCAGGAAGTAGAGACACTGTTGGAACTTCTTAGTTATGGAGCTGGTGTTGAGAGACCAGGAGAGGTTCTCCGCCAGGTGGGCACCAAGGAATCTGGTGCTCTTGGAGACCTCCACAGAGGATCCATTGATGCTAAGTGGACAGTGATCTCTCTGTGCTCTCCTGAAGTCAAAAATCATCTCTTTTGTTTTGTCCACATTCAGAGACAGGTTGGTGACTCTGTTGCAACCTCCTCTCTGTATGTATCTGGTCTAATCTGGATAAATGGTAAATGATAAATGGCCTGTATTTGTATAGCGCTTTACTTAGTCCCTATGGACCCCAAAGTGCTTTACACTACATTCAGTCATCCACCCATTCACACACACATTCACACACCAGTGTTGGCAAGCTACATGTAGCCACAGCTGCCCTGGGGCGCACTGACAGAAGTGAATCTAGATGAGAAAAACTTCAAAGAAAACTAATCTGCTTTGAAGGATACAAGGAATCCTCATTCTTTTATGTAACTACCCAGAGCTCATGACTATAGGGTAAGTAAGTAATATAGGAATGTAGACTGACTGGTAATGGTCAATGGTAACTTTATTTTCCCCAATGGGAAATTGATTTGCAGACACACACCAAACAACACATATACAAAAAAGCAACAAAAAAAATGTAGAACAGGCCCAAGTTTCATTAGTAGCATCAACAAAGTGCAACGTGCAGTAGTGATGGCAACAACGCTTATGGTTTAGTGTTATTAAGCATGATAATAGCAGCAGGTATAAAAGACATTCTTTGTCTCTTGGTCTTCACTGCAAGCACTTTATACCAGCAACGTGAGGGAAGCAGCTGAAAATTATTAAAGAGAGGATTGTCTGAACATAACATGAAAGAGGCTGCCTTCCTCAGCACCTGCCTGTTATAAAAGTCCACAAGCTGGACCTGAGACCTCCCTGAAATCTGACCAGCCATTTTAACCAGGTTACAAAGTCTGATCGTATTGGTCAAAGACAAATTACAATACTCTCTTAGCAAAACCAGTGCGTTACTAAAATTATGATTATCATCAATTCTCAAGTAAAATCTCTTCAGCTCATTAGCCAACTGACATTCTGAGCTAAAACCAGGGAGACTTATTACATGAGAGTGACCAGTCATGTGTTTCATGCCTGCCCAGGCAACCCGGAAGTCATAGCTTCCCCATCTCAACTTCTACCTTATGCTTGCATTTTATTTTGGCTTTTTTATTTGGGATCTGATCGCCTTCCTAATTTTCTTCACCTCAGATTCACTTTAGAGATATTCCCTTCAAAGGGCCTCCTTCAGGTGGCGCTGTCACTTGGTGTTGGTGTTGCTGTTGGTGTTTGCTCTCTCTGCGGTAGAGTATCCCTTCCTTTTCCAACACACAGTGGTGTTTTTGAATAGATTATTTCCATAGCAATTTAATTAAAATTTTTTTAGATAACTTCTGTTTTCATAGTATAATCTTCACGCGCTTCATCCGAAGCACACTCTCTGTGTACTCACTCCCTAATTCAGTGCCAAAGTATTCATTCACTGTGTCTTTACTGTTTCGCTAGCTTAGCTTAGCTCATAGCTGACTCGCTAGCAGCATGGCCTCCTCACCTGTCCCTCCTGCACTTTCCTGCTCATTGTGTCAGATGTTTAGTTACTCCTTTAGCAGTAATGATACTTGTAACAAACGTAGCATATTTGCAGCTCTGGAGGCCAGGATTACTGAATTGGAGACTCAGCTTCGCACCCTTGATAGGCCCGTAGCTAGCCAGGCCCCTGTAGCTGGTGCAGCCGAAGATAGCATAGGCCCCGCTAGCTGTCCCCCGGCAGACCCCAAGCAGTTGGTGAAAGAGGGCGGCTGGGTGACGGTGAGGAGGAAGCATAGTCTTAAACAGAAGCCCCCATCGGCAACCATAGTCAATTGTCTTCCAGGGGCCAGAGCAGGTGACACTGAGAGAAATTTAAAACTGCTGGCTAAGGATAAACATCAATTCATTAAAATTTTAATTCACGTCAGCAGTAATGACACCCGGTTACGTCAATCGGACGTAACCTCCCTGAGCCTGGTTCTACCGGAGGTTTCTTCCTGTTAAAAGGGAGTTTTTCCTTCCCACTGTCGCCAAAGTGCTTGCTCATAGGGGGTCATGTGATTGTTAGGTTTTTCTCTGTATACCTTACAATATAAAGTGACTTGAGGCGACTGTTGTTGTGATTTGGCGCTATATAAATAAAACTGAATTGAATTGAGGCAGCACGGTGGCACGGTGGTTAGCACTGTTGCCGCACAGCAAGAAGGTCCTGAGTTCAATTCCACCATCAGACCAGGGTCTTTCTGTGTGGAGTTTGCATGTTCTCCCCGTGTTTGCGTGGGTTCTCTCCGGGTCCTCCGGCTTCCTCCCACCGTCCAAAGACATGCAGCTTGTGGGGATAGGTTAATTGGATAATCCAAATTGCCACTAGGTATGAATGTGAGTGTGAATGGTTGTCTGTCCCTATGTGTTAGCCCTGCGACAGACTGGCGACCTGTCCAGGGTGTCCCCCGCCTTTCGCCCTATGACAGCTGGGATAGGCTCCAGCGCCCCCCGCGACCCTGAAAAGGATAAGCGGAAGCGAATGGATGGATGGATGGATGAATTGAATTGAATTAAAAGCTTTCTTCCTTTCATAAATCAGCCTCATGAGAGCTGATTTATTATTAGAGAAAAAAAATGCACAACTTGAAGGAAGGAAGAATCATATCTCTACAAAAGGAGATATAGTTGCAGACAATGTCCGTCAGTTCATTCATGTTTCTGGATGACTCCACAAACACCAACCAGTCAGTACAGTCAAAGCATCCCTGTAGAGGCGTTGTTACTCCAAACCTTTATGTGGTGTTTCCTCACCATCTCGCTCCTCAGCACAAACTGGCGGGAGATGCACCGTGTTGTGGTCAGAGGATCCGAGGGCGGGGCCTGCCACAGATGTTTGCGCACCTTTTATGGAACCATAACATAGATCCAGACTTTTATTGAAGTGTGTTCACATGTTGATAGAAACTGCCCAATGTCTTCTTCAAATTACAGTGATTAAAGTCCCCCAGAATAATATTAGGGGCCTCAGGAGAGAGAGATCGGAGTGAGTACACAACGTTGGAGATGGTGTCAGCCGCAATCTTTGGGTTCGCTTTATGATGGACACAACAGTGACACTGGTCTGCGGGAATTCCCTCGGCAGGTATGGCCTCATAGACATGGAAAGAACCTCAATGTCCGGCAGACACACCTGTTCACGGACAATAAAGTTTTTACACCATTTCTGATTAATGTATAAACACACCCCTCCTCTGTAAGATTTCCGAGTAACTCCGGAAATCAGCAGCTTTGCATTTATGCTCAGCTTTTTCATCGTCACAACAGATTGGAACTGCCCCAATCCATTATTCAATCTCAAGCTCTGCTCTGATGATTGTGGTTACAAGTGGTAGAAATGAGCTCTTCTGAAGGGTGGCTGGTGTTTCTCTTAGACAAAGCGTGACAAGTTCAGTGATTTGGGACAGAATGCTACTCCTGCACATTGAAACGAGCCAGATGAAGTCATACAGGGAGCTGTTAGGATGCTTCATGGGAAATTCCAGGGAGAGATGTTCCAGGCCCTGTTGTAGACCCAGAACATGCTGGAGAGATTGGTGAGATTACGTTTCCTGGCTAGGAAAGGCTTGGTATTGTCCTGAATGAGCTGCAGGAGGTGGCCGGGGAGGGAGAAGCCTGAGCTACTCCACTCAGCCTGCTTCCTAAGCAATCCACACCCAAATAAGGAGGACAAAATGGACGCATGGATTTTGATATCTTGACAAAATATTTGACAAAAATGATGCAATTATTGCCTGTCTTTTTCAGATATACGGAAGATTAACAAAGTCAGAAGGATTCATTGTCTATTGATTTTGAATGTGATAGAAAATTATGTGCTAATCCTTGATCCTTCACTGATAATTTACTAAAGAAGTAAAAACTAAACCTGCTAAATGATGCAAGTGAGAAGATCACTTTTATTCTTTAACAAGAGATTTTAAGATAAGTCTTCCTCTGGAAACCAAGCATATATAAAATGAACTGTAGTAAATCCAGTTAATTCCCAAAAGAAGAACAAATATTGCTGTGAAATAAGACAATAATACATATGTTTTTGAAATTGTTGCACTTTTCCATTTATTAAGTGAAAGAGTCTCACAGGCATTTACACGTGTAATGTGACTATAAGCAGTTAAACCTGTTTTACTATAGATACACCCTAAAACAATTGATATGAAAAACAAAACTTACATTGCTCTGGTCTCTCATAAATACCTGCTATTTATTTAAGCTTAGTTAAATGGAGAATAAGTTAAAGGCACTGAAAAAAAGAGTAAAAAGGAACAATGCTCATAGCCATAAAATGATGCCACTTTCTTTCCAATTTGTCTTAAAGACAGCAGTTAAGGCACTGTGGTGACCAGTAAACAAACAAACAAACAAACCAAAAAAAGAAAGAATGGAAAAATAGCCTTCAAGACCGTGGTTAAGGCACTGTGGTGACCGGTACACAAACAAACCAAAAAAAGGAAGAAAAGAAAATTAAATGACACAAATAAAATGTATTGTAGTGCCACTGAGAAGATAAGCCATATCCACAGGAATGCACATGGCCTTTGGTTGTACTATTGGTTAAAGCTAGATTAGACAGTCCTTAACAACAGACTTACTTCTGTTATTGTACCATAATGGGGGGGTCAAAAGTCAAATCTACTTACGTAAAAGCACTACCTGATAGGTGGTGGCTCCAACTGCTGTATAGTGTGTAAAATGATGAGTACGACTACAGAAGAATGTCATATCCAAGTTCAGTAACTTCCTGTTTTTGCTGACCGGTTTACTGACCAGTGGCAGAATTAGCCATCGGTAAGCCTTTGACAATCTGAGCAGCTGTCTGCAGCACAAATCACAACACAATCAATTCATAGAAAGCTTCAAAATGTTGATAAAGGCAAAGTTTAAGCACGAGGAAAGATTTAGAAGACTTTAAGAAGAACATTAAGCAGACTTTTGCTTCATAAACAGGAAACTGTTCATGAATAGATCATTTGTGCTTTATATGACAAATTAAAAGCAAACCTAGTCTACAGTGTCTTTTTGATGAAATTGATAACAACAACTATATATTATTGTTTAGATATTAGATATTATTGTTTACTGACACTTACTTATAAATAATAATTCACTTTGGAAAGAGTTTGTTGTTGTTGTTTTAAAAATGCAGATACTGCAAAAAAAATCTATTTAATCTAATCTAACTAGAAGTCCTACATCATTGTTATTGGCTGTTACAATTTTCCATGTGATTTCAACAGAGCAACAATAAAGTAAGTAAAGCCTGCACACAGGGAACAGGAATGTTCACCAAAAGAAGAAGAAAAGAGTAAGAGGATCTGACAAGGAAGAAGGGCTTATTTGAAGGATGCGCGGACCAGGCGGCCCTTGAGAGGCTGTGGAGGGCGGTAGTTGTCCACCATGTAGCATGGAGCTTCTCCATCTCCGGTGAAGAGGAGGCTGCGAAACTTGGCCATCTAATGAGGAAGGAAAGTGACAAAGGGAGAGTAATAAAAGATCATGTTTCCATGGACTTCTGCAGAATTTTGGAGTTGCATTAGTACAATTTCTAGCAATCATCACCAAGCAGATTAGATTAGGAGATTACAAGTGAGAGGTGAATGTATACTCTGTAGTATCACCAAGGGCTGGTTATATTGATAACTTACAAAATTACAAAGTCAGTGTTGCAATGTAACCAGTTACTGTATCTAGTACACTACCTTTCAAAAAGTACTACATGATGTACATTACTTTTTAAATTTTTATAGGTGAACAAAACCATTTCACCGTAATGTTCCCACACAGACATATTTAACAAACAGCTATTTCAAATTGTAATCATCATCTAAGCCTTATTTAAAATGAAAGAAAGACGTTTGCAGTTGAGTATCATATAAAACAGCCTATTTTACATGTACGCTCACAGTGCACTTCTACCCAACAGTAATACATGCATAAGCAAATAATAAACCTTTTAATGAAATAATGTTTCATCCACCTCACATCCATTGAAGTGTCATTAATTACTGTTACATGCAAGTGGTTGGTATGTGGGAGAGGCCCATCCAATAAAAGTTTCCTCTTTAGCATTCCCTTATCATGTCAAATGGCTTTTTGGTCCAATTTGATGAAGGCATTGGTTTAACCAAACGGAAGCTAAAAGGACTTTTCTTCATACACTTTTCTGAGAACATTCACACCACTGTTTCACAGGATTCCCAGGACAGGATTAGTTGAACATCAGTGTGCTAGGACTACAATGTGGAATGAAAGATGTTAAACAATTAAATTACTAAGACAACATGGAATAATCTCACTGCAGTGTATGTGTGTGTGTGAGAGAGAGAAAGAAAGATAAATGCCGAAAGCAGTAAAATTGCTAAAATAACTATTTCACTGGGAGTGAAATAGTTATTTTAGCCTTTAGCTAGCTGGTGATCTTGAATTTACTTTAGCAGGCCAAAGTTTCCCTTTATCTGTCACTAAATACATGTTGCACTGTGTTTCAGTGTTGCTGCACTGATTTCTACTTTGTGGAAAATAACTATATCTATATATACACTCAACAAAAATATAAACGCAACACCTTTGTTACTGCTCCCATTCCCCATGGGATGGACGCAGAGACCTAAAATTCATTCCAGATACATAATATAACCATCCCTCCCAAACAGTGGTCACAAATCAGTCCAAATGTGTGGTAGTGGGCACATCTGCTATATTGAGATAATCCATCCCACCTCACAGGTGTGCCACATCAGGATGCTGATCTGACATCATGAGTAGTGCACAGGTGTACCTCAGACTGCCCACAACAAAAGGCCACCCTGGAATGTGCAGTTTTGTCTCACAGCAAAATGCCACAGATGCCACAAGCAATGAGGGAGCGTGCAATTGGCATGCTGACAGCAGGAATGTCAACCAGATCTGTCGCCCGTGCATTGAATGTTCATTTCTCAAATGGTAAATGGCCTGCATTTGTATAGTGCTTTTCTAGTCCCTAAGGACCCCAAAGCGCTTCACACTACATTCAGTCATTCACCCATTCACACACACATTCACACACTGGCGATGGCAAGCTACATTGTAGCCACAGCTGCCCTGGGGCGCACTGACAGAGGCGAGGCTGCCGGACACTGGCGCCACCGGGCCCTCTGACCACCACCAGTAGGCAAACATGGGGTTAGTATCTTGCCCAAGGATATTTGGCATGCAGCCAGGAGGCAGCCTGGGATCGAACCACCGACCTTCTGATTAGTGGCTGACCTGCTCTCAACCATAAGCCGTCTCCACAGGCGTTTCAGAGAATATGGCAGCACATCCAACCGGCCTCACAACCGCAGACCTCGTGTAACCACACCAGCCCAGGACCTCCACATCCAGCAGGTTCACCTCCAAGATCGTCTGAGACCAGCCACCCAGACAGCTGCTGGAACAATTGGTTTGCACAACCAAACAATTTCTGCACAAACTGTCAGAAACCGTCTCAGGGACGCTCAACTGCATGCCCGTCGTCCTCATCGGGGTCTTGACCTGACTCCAGCTCGTCGCCGTAACAGACTTGTGTGGGCAAATGCTCACATTCGATGGCGTCTGGCACGTTGGAGAGGTGTGTGCTTCACGGATGAATCGTGGTTCACATTGTTCAGGGCAGATGGCAGCTGAGAATGTCCCAGTTCTTGCATGGCCAGCATACTCACCGGACATGTCACCCATTGAGCATGTTCGGGATGTGCTTGACCGGCGTATACGACAGCGTGTACCAGTTCCCACGAATATCCAACAACCTCGCACAGCCATTGAAGTGGAGTGGACCAACATTCCACAGGCCACAATTGACAATCTGATAGACTCCATGCGACGATGTGTTGCACTGCATGAGGCAAATGGTGGTCACACCAGATACTGACCGGTTCTGGGTCCCCAGACCCCCAATAGCGCAAAAAACTGCACATTCCAGGGTGGGCTTTTGTTGTGGGCAGTCTGAGGTACACCTGTGCACTACTCATGATGTCAGATCAGCATCCTGATGTGGCACACCTGTGAGGTGGGATGGATTATCTCAATATGGCAGATGTGCCCACTACCACACATTTGGACTGATTTGTGACCACTGTTTGGGAGGGATGGTTATATTGTGTATCTGGAATGAATTTTAGGTCTCTACGTCCATCCCATGGGGAATGGGAGCAGTAACAAAGGTGTTGCGTTTATATTTTTGTTGAGTGTATGTGTGTCTTATAAATGTATGAGCACATTTAATGTTAGTGGAGAACGCTTATTGCCACCTCTGTGTGAGTTTTGTGTCACACGAGGGTTACATTCATGAGTGCAAACTGCGCCCTGGAGATACAGGCAGTCAGTGTAATCTAAGTGAAACACCAGTTACTTAAGGTTCAGACCCACCCTACTAAGTCTGATATGGCTTCTGTAACTACACTCTTGACAGTGATAATGTTTGGATCAACATTCTGGCCCCCCAAACCATGCACAACCACTAAATGAAATGTATAGTCATACAAACGTGTGTACAATTATACTGTAAAAAACAGAGTAACAGGTAAACAGCCTGTTCTCTTTAATCAACAACAATGAAATTGTGTTGATTTCATGAGTCTATGAAGCTTAATACTTTCCTTTCACTTTCCTATTTGATGTGAAAATCTTTCAGCATTCTCAGCTGACAAAATGACTAAAAAGCATGTACACATTCGTGCACATGTACTAAAGTGTATATTTTCTTTGGACTAATACACTCACACTCTGACATTCTACCTAAACCCTTATAACACTGTCGCCAAGGGCTTGCTCGTTGAGGTTATATTATTGTTGGGATTTTCTTGGTATTATTGTAGGGTTATTGTAGGGTCTTACAATATAAAGAACCTTGGGTGACTGTTGTTGTGATATAGTGCTATATAAATAAAATTGAATTGAATCAAATAGTTATAACTACACATTGCCTATGTGTGTGAAAGGGATGGGGTTGGGGGCCAAGATAAGTACTTGTGCAGGGCTGACGCTGATTGGCTCCTTAAGTACAATCCAGGTGACACTCTCCAGGAGGGGAGGAGTCGTCAAAGAGCCCTCATAGGTCCAATAATCCGGGGAACCAGGAAGAAGAGTCCTTGGATCAAAGTTAGCAAAGGTTGTCTGCTTTCCCTGTAGGCATGAGGGAAGAGAAAATGGAAGAAAGGAAATACCAAAAGAAAAACCATGATAGTGGCATCATTAGTTTCCAACGCCTTTAAACTGCTCTGCACAAACAGTACGAGCACATTTGTTTTCAGCAAACCTGTATTTTACCAATTCTGAGACAGCTGATTTTACCTTGTTCTTGATGGCATCCAAAGCATCCAGAACTTTCTGAAGGCGGGGGTTGGCAGCACCAATCTGGAACACAATGTAAAGACAACAAACTTTTATATTTAACATTTTTTGTTTTTACATTATTCATTTTGAACTTTTTAGCCTCTGACGGTTCACCTTTAGAAATACCCCCACTACAGCAAGTCCATCAGGCTTTTCAGCTGCCTCTCCAAAACTGGGGTACTTAGTGTTCCAGTGCACCAAGTGAAGCTAACAGGAAAATCAAACAAAGTTGAAATATTAAAGCACAAAGCTGAAGAAAGTAAAGTAACAACTAAATAGTTGTTTACACAACAGACCCACAAGTTGCATATTGTGTGCAACTGTTTTTAATCCTATGCAGTGTCAAGATCTTTTTACCTCACAGGGGAACTTGATGCCATTGAGAGTGTGCTCAGAGCCTCTGTTGTCACTTCCTCCCCAGTGGAAATGAAACTGCCTCAGGCGGTAGACTCCAGAAATAGGACCCCCAGTCAAGGCTAGTAATAACAGAACATCATAATCATTGGGGCCACAGTCAGGAAAGGACAGATGTTGCATGTGTTGATCTTTGTATTCAGCATTGAAAAAGCAAAAGACCCAGGATTTTCAGAGTCTGACCTGTATGAGGATAACACAGGATTTTAAGTCTTTTCTGGTTCTCAATTTTTTTGAACTTTTTGAACTGAGTAGAATGACTTAATTCTGTGTTTACTTTTACTTTTGTAATGACATGCAGTACACTGGATAAAAGGTGAACAGTAAAAGTACTAGTATAGTATAGTATAACAGGGTGGGGTACTGTAGATGTCTGTTGACCTGCAGATAATGAAATAGAGCTGATTATGATTAACTGCATGCTGACATCATCACGCTTATCTACTACAGTACATACAGCAGGGGTGGCTGCATAAACAAGACAGATAAAGCTAACTAATGCTAGGATCAACTGTAAATGTACACAATGACATACACTTTAGAATTTTTTAATCAAAGAGTCACATTTTCTGACCCTCTTCTACACAACTGCAATATAATGAATATTATATACTCATTACACTTTTGTCCATAAGGCTTTATAACTGTACAAAACATTAAGAAGATTGCATTGGACATCTAGACATTTATTTGATGATTTAGCCACACCTTACAAGACATAAATAACTAGATGAATATCTTTTTTGTGGCTCTGTACTTACTGGAGCTGTCTGTGTCATCCACAAAGTCCACCTGGAAGGAGTGCCCATTGTTCAGAATGCCCTTGGTGTTTGAGGGGTCGTAGCTGATTTTCAGAGCCTTCAGAGATGGGTCATAATGAGCTTCTTTAGGGATTATGTTAATGGGAGACTGCCTGTTCCCATCAGCTATGGGGAAATCTGCAGCCCATGTGTCAGGTCCTGCAAATACATGCATGTGTTAACATCACACATACGTTCCACATATGACTCTCCATGCTATACATAAGTATACTGAGAATTTTAAAATGCACCATTTCTATTGGTTTTTCTAACTGAAGTTAAATGTAAATATACGATGTTTACGACTAAGAAATGTAGAACTTATATTTAATTTCTCATTTCTGTTTATCAAGTACAAGGTCTCAAGGTTAAGGTGCTCACATCCTTTATGAGAGAGTTGAAAAATTAACACGTTTAAACGATCATACTGCTACTGACCTAAATGAGAACCTTGATGTTGAAGTTGTTTAGTTAATAAAAGCAGCAGTACCACAATACATACGATACAAATGACTTTCAAAGTATCTGAGTTCTTTCCAAGGTAAATGCTAACAGTATGAACACAGTAAGTACTGGAAATCTATTACACTTGGCACATAAATTGCTAGATAATACCTCACATGTAGGTTAGATACAGAAACTTTAATACAATTTCTAATGAAAGGTTGTAATAGTCAAGTCTATTTATAATCCATAAATTGTAGTTTTAAAAGCCATTCTATCGAAATAAGTCTCTTCCAAAATGTCCTCAGCTCTAAATCTCAACTGTACAAAATATGTATATATACATATATATATATATATATATATATATATATATATATATATATATATATATATATACACACACACACACACACACAACATTTTCCCATTTTATTCCTGTCTATAACATCCAGGTATTATAGGCAGTGAAAATATATTCTATAAATATATAATTAAATAAATATATTACTAAATAAAACATAACAGCCCGTTTTTATTTGAACATAAAATTACAGAAAATGTGTCCCAGAGAAACAGTTATCTTAACTAATAAAACTAACAACTAACTTATCAAAACAAACCAAATTACATATTTATTTTTATTTAAAAAACTGTAATAAAATCCATTCATTAAAATACAATTATGGTTTTAATGTTTAATCATAAAGGAATAAATAAATAAGAACGCTTAGCTTCTGTAAACGATCAGGGTCTCTGTAGGTCTGCTCCTACCCCAGGCTTAGCCGCAGTGGTGTATTGTTTAAGCAATGAAATTATTATAGAAAATGGACAAATTGTTGTTTGTAATATATGCCACTGTCTACACAACTATATAGAAAACGGAGCTGAGTGGGGCAACATCCTCTCCTACAGCAAACCCGGTAGGATGCTCTAAGATCCTCACCGTTGGTCGGTTCGTATCCCCATCCATGAGACATGGCTGCTCCAACTGTAAGCTACCCTGGTACTGATTAATCCACGTCAGTCTGCCGGACGACAAAAAGGCGAAGGGTGATCTGTAATTACCACTCGCTGCGTTGCTTTATATACGCTGTGTCAGTCCTCACCCCGGTGGGTTTGGCTTGCCGCTTCTTAAGAGAGAACAGGGCAGCCATTCAGAGATGTGATGGTGGCGTCCTTTACTAGCCCAGTCCTCCTGCTCGCCTCTCCTCCCCCCTGCTTTCCTCACGATATGCGGGGTCTCACTTTTGAAACCACGTGATGGCGATTTTTCAGCCCGCTCTCTCTTCCCCTGGCAGAGAAGGATTAGTACCTGATGCGCGCTCATCCTCCACACATGTATCTCTTCTAGCACCCGGCAGCGTGCCGATGCTGTCTTTCGGTGCTTCCAGCGGATCTGATATTGTGAAGCCTCTTGCCAGCTCTTGTTGGTGTAGCTTTGTGCACGGGATGTTCATGCCTTTGCACGCTCAGAGGAGCTTAGTTGTGGAGTGGAGGCTTCAGCCCCGCAGTTAAACCGTTAAACACAAGCACACTTTCCTACCAAAATAGCCCTAGTTTTCAATATCCTAAGCGAAACAGGTCAAAACGCAAATAAATAATATAATACACTTTAAACCCTAATACTCAAAGTAGTTAAATACATTGTGTAAACGTAATTTCCCCTAAAAATCTATAACTTAAATATTTTGAGTTTCTCTTTTTTCAGTGTGAGTTAATTGAAGCAATTGAAGTTATTTTGCTGAATAAGTACCAGTTAAAAATATTTCTGGTTTAGATATCTGACAGCAAACATAAAATATTTTTTAATTTTTAACATAAAGATCGAGTTCATTTTGATTTTGACATTGGACAATACAACAGAACTGCTTTGATTGGTAACTTGAAGGGTCTTAGATTTTTATTATTCTTTATATATTATAGATAGTGCTTGCCTTGCTTTCTTGTTGCCTGTATGGTGGGTAAAACTGACCCAATTTCAAATGGCAGCACACCTGAGCAGGCAGGGCTCTGGTGTATAAAACGCCCATAAACTAGCTCTGCCAGAACCTCTTGGGTTTCTTCTCTGCTTATTTTTCATGGACGCTGCTTAGCTGATAAAGCATTTCAGTTTTGTTTTTAGCACATGCTCTCTCAAATACCCTCTGTGAATTCAGACATCATGTGTTGATATGCTGACAGTCGTTCAAGCTAGGTCTTTATTTTATTTAACTGAAATATTGTAAAATATCAGGGGTGGCTGGAGCTCAGGTGGTAGAGCAGGTCGCCTACTAACCGGAAGATTGGTGGTTCGATTCTAGTCTGCTCCAGTGTGCATGCCAAGTATCCTTGGACAAGATACTAATCCCAGGTTGCCCTTTGATGCATCCATTGGAGTGTGAAAGAATGTATGGTTGTTAGTTAGCACTAAATGGGTGTGATTGGGTGAATGAACAAATTGTGTAGAGTGCTCAGGTAGAGTAGAAAAGTGCTATAAGAACCAGTCCAATGGCCTCCAAACTCTATATGTGTTCTTGTTCTTTTTTTATCACATACTTTGAGCCTGGTTGTGACAAATGGAGACTCGTCTGCACAATTATCTTGTTCTCAAGTTTTTTTATGCTTAATTAAAAGCTTGGTGTGCTATTTTGTAAGCCTTCAGTGTTACATTTGTGTACACTAAATTGGCTAGTCGTATCTTTGGGTTTGCCTTTAGAGAAAGTCCGAGTTATTAGTCACAGTTTGGTCATTTGTGGTTGACTGATATTCTGGGGACTATATCTGCTGAGTATTAGCTTCAGGAGGCCTTTGGAGAAAAGCAAACTTTGCCACATTAACTTGTTAAAACCAAATCAATGAACTTCAGAATTTTGAGTTGTTTCTTCGGTTATTTGCCTATTGACAAACATATTGAGCTGATCTATAGAAGTTTTCCATCTTGCTTTGGGGACACACCTTCTAAAATGACTTGGATCGAACATATTTTGATGCGAGTAATGCAAAACTGATCCGGCAAAGATTTTAGTCTCTGAGGAAAAGAAAAAAATTAATCTTAAAGTTCAGTATATGGTAGGAAAATAACATTGCAGTGATGTCTTCATCAAGCTGGACTTCCCCTTGTCTATTGATCAAAAAATCAAAGTTGCCACAGTGTTTTACAGATTGGAGAAAGCACAGTGACTATATTGAACTAACTATATGTGGGGTAAAGGATACTAATCCTTTACCCCACATTGGAGACTGTATTGGCCAAGCTGGTGCAGTGTGAGCAAGTTTAAATGAATCTTTCACCTCAAAATATTACACACAATAGCCTACCCTATGGTAACAACAGTTTAAAATGAATCCAATTGAATTAAAAATGAAAAACAAAAGTATAACGTGTATATACATATTCACAGTTTTTGCTTAATACTTTGTTGAAGCACCTTTGACACTAATTACTACGGTGGCCCCTAGAGACAAAGCACGTACAAACTCCAAAACACTTGCAAACTCCAAAACACATGCAAATTCCAAAACACATGCAAACTCCAAAACACTTGCAAACTCCAAAACACATGCAAACTAAAAAACACATGCAAATTCCAAAACACATGCAAACTAAAAAACACATGCAAATTCCAAAACACGTACAAACTCAAAAACACTTGCAAACTCAAAAACACATGCAAACTAAAAAACACATGCAAATTCCAAAACACGTACAAACTCAAAAACACTTGCAAACTCAAAAACACATGCAAATTCCAAAACACAACGGAAGTCCTCCAGGACGCTAGGGGCAGTGTTGAGCCTTTGTTACCTAGTAACTACACAAGCCAGGAAGTACCAATGACCGGATTAGGAGTTTGCAGCCTTTTTTTTTTTTTTTTTAACTTCATTTATCACATTTTAGACATACAGTCAAGTAAGGGGGTTTGCAGCCTTAAAGGCCGCATTTTAAGGCTGATTACGTCACAGCGACAAGAGAAGGCTTTCCCAATTCAAAGGCTGCTCTACATGCGGCCCTCAAATACACTTAACAAAAATATAAACGCAACACCTTTGTTACTGCTCCCATTCCCCATGGGATGGACGTAGAGACCTAAAATTCATTCCAGATACACAATATAACCATCCCTCCCAAACAGTGGTCACAAATCAGTCCAAATGTGTGGTAGTGGGCACATCTGCTATATTGAGATAATCCATCCCACCTCACAGGTGTGCCACATCAGGATGCTGATCTGACATCATGAGTAGTGCACAGGTGTACCTCAGACTGCCCACAACAAAAGGCCACCCTGGAATGTGCAGTTTTTTGCGCTATTGGGGGTCTGGGGACCCAGAACCGGTCAGTATCTGGTGTGACCACCATTTGCCTCATGCAGTGCAACACATCGTCGCATGGAATCTATCAGATTGTCAATTGTGGCCTGTGGAATGTTGGTCCACTCCATTTCAATGGCTGTGCGAGGTTGTTGGATATTCGTGGGAACTGGTACACGCTGTCGTATACGCCGGTCAAGCACATCCCGAACATGCTCAATGGGTGACATGTCCGGTGAGTATGCTGGCCATGCAAGAACTGGGACATTCTCAGCTGCCATCTGCCCTGAACAATGTGAACCATGATTCATCCGTGAAGCGCACACCTCTCCAACGTGCCAGACGCCATCGAATGTGAGCATTTGCCCACACAAGTCTGTTACGGCGACGAGCTGGAGTCAGGTCAAGACCCCGATGAGGACGACGGGCATGCAGTTGAGCGTCCCTGAGACGGTTTCTGACAGTTTGTGCAGAAATTGTTTGGTTGTGCAAACCAATTGTTCCAGCAGCTGTCTGGGTGGCTGGTCTCAGACGATCTTGGAGGTGAACCTGCTGGATGTGGAGGTCCTGGGCTGGTGTGGTTACACGAGGTCTGCGGTTGTGAGGCCGGTTGGATGTGCTGCCATATTCTCTGAAACGCCTGTGGAGACGGCTTATGGTTGAGAAATGAACATTCAATGCACGGGCGACAGATCTGGTTGACATTCCTGCTGTCAGCATGCCAATTGCACGCTCCCTCATTGCTTGTGGCATCTGTGGCATTTTGCTGTGAGACAAAACTGCACATTCCAGGGTGGCCTTTTGTTGTGGGCAGTCTGAGGTACACCTGTGCACTACTCATGATGTCAGATCAGCATCCTGATGTGGCACACCTGTGAGGTGGGATGGATTATCTCAATATAGCAGATGTGTCCACTACCACACATTTGGACTGATTTGTGACCACTGTTTGGGAGGGATGGTTATATTGTGTATCTGGAATGAATTTTAGGTCTCTACGTCCATCCCATGGGGAATGGGAGCAGTAACAAAGGTGTTGCGTTTATATTTTTGTTGAGTGTACGTCCTTAATTTCCCTGAATTTTAAGGATGGGTCGGTGTAGCCTTCATGGCCCAACATATCCCAGACTTCATAGTGCGGTGGTGGTGTGGATAATTTTGCCGAAAAAAAACGGTGGAAGCGGAGCGGAGGAAGAGTAAACTTTCAGAAGTAAGTACTGAATATTATGTCACTTATTAATGCGCAAATATTTTTTAATGAAGAACATTAAACCATTATTGTTGGCCACATGTCAGGAAAGTTATGTGACATTAGCGATGTCTATACTTTCAGAATTAACTTGGTTTTAAAGCCTTTACTTTAAAATATATATATATAGTAGGGGTGCAACGATATTCGTATCGATATTGAACCGTTCGATACAGTGCTTTCAGTTCAGTACGCATATGTATCGAACAATACAACATTTGTAATTTATTTTATCAACTTTCCTTCTGACGATGCTGTCTGTGTTGAGCGCTCAGTGAATCTGCGTTCGACTACTCCGCCTAGGCTGCACTGTCGAGCACAGATCCACTGAGCGCTCAACACAGACAGCATAGTCAGAAGGAAGAGCGCAGGGCAAGCTAGCAAGACAGAAGTTAAGCTCTCCTTGCAACATGGACCTCCCCCACTCTCATTCAGATCTGGCGTTTGGAATTATTTTGGTTTTCATGTGACGTATGACCCTGAAGGTAAGCGAGTCATGGACTAAAGTAAAACAGTATGTTGGATGTGCCATGCAATGCTCAATTACATGGGTGGGAACTAGTGTGTTAGCGCAGTTAGCTCGTTAATGTGTTGGCCGTCTAGCCCCATGCACGGAGCGATCGGCGGTAGCTCGTTAA